TCAATGTGATACAATACATTAACAAAAGAAAGAACAAGAATCATAGGATCCTCTCAATAGATGCAGAAAAAGCTTTTGACAAAGTACAGCATCCTTTCTTGATCAAAACTGTTCAGAGTATAGGGATCGAGGGTACATACCTCAATATCATAAAAGCCATCTATGAAAAACCTACAGCGAATATCATTCTCAATGGGGAAAAACTGAGACCTTTCCCCCTAAGGTCAGGAACACGGCAGGGATGTCCATTATCACCACTGCTATTCAACATAATATTGGAAGTCTAGCCACAGCAATCAGACAACAAAAAGAAATCAAAGGCATCCAAATTGGCAAAGAAGAAGTCAAACTCTCACTCTTTGCAGATGATATGATACTTTATGTGGAAAACCCAAAAGACTCCACCCCAAAACTGCTAGAACTCATACAGGAATTCAGTAAAGTGGCAGGATATAAAATCAATGCACAGAAGTCAGTGGCATTCCTATACACCAACAACAAGACAGAAGAAAGAGAAATTAAGGAGTCAATCCCATTTACAATTGCACCCAAAACCATAAGATACCTAGGAATAAATCTAACCAAAGAGACAAAGGATCTGTACTCAGAAAACTATAAAATACTCATGAAAGAAATTGAGGAAGACACAAAGAAATGGAAAAACGTTCCATGCTCATGGATTGGAAGAACAAATATTGTGAAGATGTCAATGCTACCTAGAGCAATCTACACATTCAATGCAATCCCCATCAAAATACCATCCACTTTTTTCAAAGAAATGGAACAAATAATCCTAAAATTTGGATGGAACCAGAAAAGACCCCGCATAGCCAGAGGAATGTTGAAAAAGAAAAGCAAAGCTGGTGGCATCACAGTTCCAGACTTCCAGCTCTATTACAAAGCTGTCATCATCAAGACAGCATGTACTGGCACAAAAACAGACACATAGATCAATGGAACAGAATAGAGAGCCCAGAAATGGACCCTCAACTCTATGGTCAACTCATCTTTGACAAAGCAGGAAAGAATGTCCAATGGAACAAAGACAGTCTCTTCAACAAATGGTGTTGGGAAAATTGGATAGCCACATGCAGAAGAATGAAACTGGACCATTTCCTTACACCACACACAAAAATAGACTCCAAGTGGTTGAAAGACCTCAATGTGAGACAGGAGTCCATCAAAATCCTAAAGGAGAACACAGGCAGCAACCTCTTTGACCTCAGCCAAAGCAGCTTCTTCCTATCGCCAAAGGCAAGGGAAGCAAGGGCAAAAATGAACTATTGGGACTTCATCAAGATAAAAAGCTTTTGCAAAGCAAAGGAAACAGTCAACAAAACCAAAAGACAACCGACAGAATGGGAGAAGATATTTGCAAATGACATTATCTGATAAAGGGCTAGTATCCAAAATCTATAAAGAACTTCTTAAACTCAACACCCAAAGAACAAAGAATCCAATCAAGAAATGGGCAGAAGACATGAACATTTTTCCAAAGAAGACATCCAAATGGCCAACAGACACATGAAAAAGTGCTCAACATCGCTCAGCATCAGGGAAATCCAAATCAAAACCTCAATGAGATACCACCTCACACCAGTGAGAATGGCTAAAATTAACAAGTCAGGAAATGACAGATGTTGGCAGGGATGTGGAGAAAGGGGAACCCTCCTACACTGTTGGTGGGAATGCAAGCTGGTGCAGCCACTCTGGAAAACTGTATGGAGGTTCCTCAAAAAGTTGAAAATAGAGCTACCATATGATCCAGCAATTGCACTACTGGGTATTTACCCCAAAGATACAAAAGTAGGGATCCGAAGGGGTACGTGCACCCCGATGTTTATAGCAGCAATGTCCACAATAGCCAAACTATGGAAAGAGCCAAGATGTCCATCGACAGATGAATGGATAAAGAAGAGGTGGTATATATATACAATGGAATATTATGCAGCCATCAAAAGGAATGAGATCTTGCCATTTGCAATGACGGGGATGGAACTGGAGGGTATTATGTTGAGTGAAATAAGTCAAACAGAGAAAGATATGTATCATATGATCTCACTGATATGAGGAATTCTTAATTGTAGGAAACAAACAGGGTTGCTGGAGTGGGGGTGGGGTGGGAGGGATGGGGTGACTGGGTGATAGACACTGGGGAGGGTATGTGCTCTGGTAAGCGCTGTGAATTGTGCAAGACTGTTGAATCTCAGATCTGTACCTCTGAAACAAATAATGCAATATATGTTAAGAAAAAAAAAAAGAAGAAGAAGAAGAAGGTACCAGGAGGGGAAGAATGAAGCAGGGGAAATCGGAGGGGTAGACGAACCATGAGAGACGATGGACTCTGAAAAACAAACAGGATTCTGGAGGGGAGGGGGGTGGGAGGATGGGTTAGCCTGGTGGTGTGTATTGAGGAGGGCACATTCTGCATGGAGCACTGGGTGTTATGCACAAACAATGAATCATGGAACACTTCATCTAAAAGTAATGATGTAATGTATGGGGATTAACATAAGAATAAAAATAAATAAATTAATTAATTTTTTAAAAAAAGATGCAATGAGAAAAATCCAGACTGCGAGACAGTCATGAGAAACAACTTGATTTCTTTACCAAATAAATTACAGGGGGAAAAAAGAGGATTGGTGGACCTAGAGATTAAAATAGATTTATGAGACATATCAAAGAATCACAATGCATAGATCTTATTGGGATTCTGATATTTTAAAAACTGTTAAAACTATGAAATTTATGATATAGTTGAAAATTTGAATAGTGGCTCAAAAGTAACTGATGGTATTTTTAAGTATTATTACATTTTTAAGTAAATAATACTATTGTGGTTAAGTTTACCGAAAAGGAATATGTGTGCATATATATATTACACTATACCCACATACACATATATGTACATAGATCTATAATGTTTATGGATGAAAATTAAGGTGTCTGAGATTTGCTTAAAACTAACAAAGGAAGATGAGAAGTAGATAAGAGTGTGAAAACAAAACAAAACAAAAAAGAATATTGTGTAGAGAATGGGAGGATGGGTTAGTGGGAATAAGAATACAAACAAGAAGACCATTCAGGAGCCTCTTGTATCCAGATAAGAGGTGATGGTGACTCAGACTAAAATAATGAAGCAAAGTAGAAGAATTTGAGACACATCTGGGACATGGCCTTGATGGCAAATTGAATGTCTGAGTCAGAGAAAGGAAAGAACCACAGGTGACTTCCCCGTTTCCAGTTTGAATAAGTGAGTAGATGTGGTGTCACTCACTGAGATAAGAAAAAACTTGAGGGTGGGTGTCACGAAGGGCAGGTTGGTGGGGAATAAACTTCTGTTGGCATTTTTTACATTTTGACTTTGAAATTTCTATGAGAAATTCATGAATGTATCAAGTAGATAACTGCTAAGGAGAGATCATATAATCTAGGATAAAATTTTATCAATGAGAAGATGGTTTTTAAATCTAGAGGAATTCATCAGCCTGGTCAGGTGGAGAATATAAAGGCAAACATTCATTGAAGCCTAACACATCAAGCACTCAATAGATTTATAGTCTAGTGGAAAGCCACATCAATGGTAAATGCTATGATAAAATATGGGCAAAACAGTGTTGAGTGGGGGTGAGAGAAAGCATCCCTTTCTATCCTAGCTCTCATCCAGTTACATGGGATGGACCATGAAAAAGAGCCAACAAATGTAAACTGAATGACGTATGAAATATTATCACAGTCTGAACTTTCCAACTTCCTCCAAAGGAAATCTCCATTTTTATTGATAACATCATTCTTTCAGTCTTGTCTTCTTACAGACTGAATTTAAAGGGCTGTAGGCACCGGGTAAGATGTCATGCCCAGCATTTGGGATGTCCTCAGTATTAGGAACAGATGGAGCCTGAAGCTGCTGGTCAGAGCAGCCATGAGCAAGCTAGACTCCGATTTTCCTTGGTAGAGGACACTAGAACAGCCAACAAGGCTCAGGGCAGAAGCCCAGCCCAGAGTGCGCTCTTGCTGGCTCACAAGGCCTGATTATGCAACCCCCCATGCCCTTCAAGTTTTCTCCTGCCCTGAATGCACAGTCTGTGAATGAGTGCTAGTTTACAGGCACAGCTGATCCCAGTCTCTTACTTGTCATGTCCTAATGTTTTACAATGTGTTGAGAAGACCCCTGGCAAAAAGCCTCTGTTTAAATGCCTTTTATTATTTTCTTGTTTGTGATGTATCAAGCCAGAGGATCAGGTTTACTGATCAACCTAGTAAAAAATTTTAATCTTTCCATTTTTATGGCCTCCCAGGAAAAATTCCATTTAGGGGGAAAGTAATGACTTTCAGAACTAATTCTCAAACATCCTATTAGCATGTTACCAAAATTGGGGCCCAGCCCTGTCAGGGACTTCAACTCCTCTAAAATATTCCTAATAGTTTTTGTTGGGAAAGTGGTGTGTTCAAGCATTTGGGAAGCAGAGGCTTGGGTGGAGGGGTCCCTGAAAGTGTGTGTGTTAGTGTGTGGGAGGGATGAAGGAAGAGACTTGTGAGTTAAGGTCATTCCAACATGCTATCAGGATGCCATTTTCCAGGGACCTTAGCCCACTGAAATTAAAGGTCTTGCTTGCTACCAGATTTTCAAAGAGCAATCACAGCTAGAGGTCACAATCTCCTTTGGTTCTTGCAACGAGCCTGTGATCAAGTATACCAACCATTACCCACACTAAGAAAAGGGAACTAAAGCTGGGGAAAGCTAAGTGACTTGCTCAGAGTCGTACAGCTTAATAGGTAGCAGCTTCAACCTGGTTGCTTCTGACCTCTGTGTCTACTTTGGTTCCTGCCCTGTGCATGGGTCAAACTACTTTCTGCATAGAGTTTTGCTCCCAGATATAAACAACTCCCACCTCTATTAAAGAGTCTGGAACCCAATGGAAAGGAGATTTGAGAGCATATGCACAAGAGTTGCAACATCCTTCTGCACACAGCATCTTCACTCTGGTGGTTCTTACCTGGTTTCCACTTAAATTCCATGATAGTCAATGTACCTCTTGGATCACTTCATCTGGAACTCCAGTCCTTCAAAGGAACACCCATCTGTAAATCCAGTACTTTCTTTCTAACTTAAAGTGAACATAGCAGAATCCAAGTAAGAGTAATATTAAGAGTGATAGTAAAATCTGCTCTAATTTATCTTCATGTAAGTCATTCACAAACATTGCATTATTAGTAATAACAAATAATTAGTAGCACAAATTACTTGCGATATAGTTTCAAATTGTCACCAAAAGTTGATACCAGGTTTTTTGCCCCATGATATTCTCTTTCATACCTACTACTGTGCCCTATCTACACCCACCCAAGCTCATCTCCATCTACCAACCTCTCAGCCTCTCATGGGGGTAAAAGAGAATGGGATCTGGAGTCAGACATACTTGGGTCTGCATCCTGGCTTGGACACTTTCTTACTGTGTGACCTTGGCAGGTTACTAAGTTTCTCTAAGATGCAGTTATCTCACATGTAAAAGGGAGATAGTAAGAGTATCTGTCTCATATGCTACTGTGAAAACTAAGTGGAGATGAAGATAGATAGATAAATATAGATAGATATGGATGAATAGATAAGAGTAGATGATAGATCGATCGATAGATAGATAGGTATTGTATATGCAAGCTATCACAATGTCTGGCACACATTAACCACTGAACAAATCTTAACTACACTTTTATTACTTCATCCCATATCTATCTAATCCACTTTCTCCACTCTCCTTTTCTGTCAATTTTTCGTGGTCCTGTGTTTACTGTGGAGAGAAACTTATGTTCTGAACTCTCTGGTAAAGAAAACAGTAAGATATTATAAACAGAAGCAGAATGGGAGCTCAATCAAATGAAGCAACATTTGTAGAAGCTCTCCTGGAACCTTATCAAGAGCTACATTAGTAATCCGATGGACTACAAGTTCAATCATTAGTCTCCACTTGGTGCATTGTTGAAGCAATACCTCTCCTTTGCATTTCAAAGACTTACCCACTGGGCCACCCACTGGGTTAGTTTCCTAGACTTTGGGAAGGACTGCTTAGAGGCAAAATGGTGTTTCCTCTCTACTCACCAGCATCAACACTTCAGATTGGGTCCCAAACATTTGCCCCAGCAGAAAGAAGCGGCCCTAGCCATCAAGAATGCTTCTAGAACACTAACTGAGATCAGATCATGTGTCTGGTCCAAAACATCCCAAGAGAGAAAAGAGACCTATCCCCATGGAGGAGTCTATGCATCAGTGGAACAACAGCAAATGACTCATAAACTGTGAATCCCAACATTGTAAGTGCAGGTGTGTCAACAAGAGATAAAGCAGTAATGGATAAGGCAAAAGCCCAGTGAAAGGTGAGATCATCTCAGGATTACATGTTAATGAGTTATCAAAGGATGCATGAAATTCTGCCAGAGGAGCTAGTTATAGTCCTTTTATCAGCTGTCAGATCCATTTTAAAAATCTTAATCTGACATTGATCTACACTCAAAATCTATAATGGCACCATGCTGTTTTACAAGGGATCATCTGGTGTTCTTCATATCGCAAAGATACTCTATCCAGCCACAGCTAGACCTCCAGGGCAGCTCTCCTGCCCCTTCATCTCTCTTCCTCGGTTGACTCGCCAGCCCAGCTGTACAGTCTTCACTCCAGACTTTTTTCCACTCTCTTTAAGCCCTCAAATAGAAACTCACATGGCATTCTCCCACACCCCACCTCCAAATGCACACATGACCTAAAGCTTACACAACTTAGGGAGAGGAATTCTTTAAGGAAAAGAATACAAAACTGTGAATACAATATTTTGTGTTCATAAGAAATAACACAGAGCACAAATGTTTTAAAAGTGGAAAATACCACAATGTCATAATATATAGAAACATTACACAATGTTTTTAGTAATTAATTGCCTGACACACCTCTATAATACTTTTTCTTACAATTTTTTGCCTGCATACTCTTTGATCATCTCTTCATATAATAATGTCTTTATAATATTATTTTCTACAGAGAGAACAAAAAGATAATTCAGTCTTTCCCTTAGCATGGTTGATAAATTTCTGGAGGGTTTTAATTGATATTTTTAAAAGTTTCTTTCAATTTCCTAATTCTGTTATTGTTTATGTCACACAAATTTTTAGAATCATTGTCAAATTTAGGAAAAACCTCTGTTAATTTTCTTTCAGATATAACCTATAAGATATGGAAGAAACTCCTACAGATTAGCTTCTGACTCCATATTTTTCAAAGTTTGTTTCTCTTCCACCATCCACATACTTCTGATGGCAAGCACCATAGAAAATGTTCATGTTGGCCTATGATCTTTGGTCCTGTACCTACATGTTATGATGCCAGATTAAGTTAATTCAATGGTTGACAGAGTATTCCGGAAGCTATTCCTATACCAAGATTGCTAGAAATTGCTTAACTATACACAGAAGTAACTGAGAACAAAACAAATATATCCCACTAAACCCAAGTTTAACATAGCCCCAACTCAACTTCCATTAACCAGATCCCAAAAATGCTTTTGCCATTTCATTGCCAATCCAGATGAGGGCAAGGTGTGACAAAGAAGAAGCTGAAGTGGAAAGAAACATCAATCTAAACCAACTGCAGTTTAAATATCTTAGTTTTGCAAATTCTATAAAAACATATGAACACATCACTAGAAATGGGAGAGGCCCATGAAAATAAGGGTTCCAGAGCTTTAGGCATCATTAGGTTCATGGTAAATCCACCTCTGTCTCTTCATCCTCCTCTAAGGAATTTGGAGTCATCCCACATAAACTTCTGCAATTTCTCTGCCTCCCATTTCAAAATGTTTCCAGATCTTTAGCTATCCTCTGACCTTTCTCTTTTGCTTCTAAAGGAATATCATATCAACCCATTTGCAATACCAACTCTTCCAGTTAATTCCATCTCTGCTGACCTCTTGCTCCAAAAATTTCTTTTCTTTTTTTTTTTAAGATTCTTTTTATTTATTTACTTTTTTTTAATTTGAGAGAGAGAGAGAGAACACTGGCTGGGAAAGGAGCAGAGGAAGAAGGAGAGAGAGAATCCCAAACAGACTCTGCATTGAGCACAGAGCTGATGCGGGGCTCCATCTCATGACCTAAGTCAAAATCAAGAGTCGGGTGCTTAACCGGCTGAGCCACCCAGAAGCCCCTCCAACAATTTCTTTTTTATCTCACTTTTTTCTGCTCTGTTAGCTTCTTTGACTAAGCCTGGAAATACACCCATGTCCCAACACATTTTAAGTGTTTAGACTGCATTCATCATCTTATCCCCCACATCTGCTCTTCCTTTGTGTTGTACATTTTTATTATGACTCCCATAATCATCCCAGACCCACAGGCTAGAAGACATTGACATTTTTCCTCCAATATTAGTCCTTTTGCCAAGTTTGGCCAAACCAAGATCTATAATATCTCTCTTATCAGACTCTCCATTTTTAGATGGCCTACAATATGATAGTAAAAAATTAGGTTTCCAATCTCCAGCCTTTCTACTCTCTTACCCAGCCAAATACTGACAGAGTGGACGCCTGTTGTTTTGTGTGCCCAGCATCCATCTGCCTTCCTATTGTCAATAACAATGCCCCATTTTTTGTTGGGGAACCACACCTCCCCCATTCTCAGTCCATGTGTGGGCATAGACCCAACTCATGAACAATCAAAGCATTCCATTTCCTAGCCATAATGATTAGTTCAAATTTGGGTATAAATGACTTCAGGCAGACCAGGGAGACCCCAGTCTGAATTTTGGGGGATTTTTTGTTCATTATTGGGAAGAAGGAACTGGTTGTGATAGCTTACTGGCTCCCTCATTAATAAATGGGCTTAATAAAATCTTGACACACGTTCATTTTACATTTGTATTGGAATCATGATTTTACCTTTTTGAAAATTATCTTTCTGGAGGTCTTCCACCAAGATGCCCAGAGAATTTACCTGACAGAACTAAGTAAACTGTATTATTAGGAAGTGTACCCAGTAAGTAGCTTAAGCCTAGGCACATATTCTCTTTGCTCCCAGAGGTGAATGCCAAGCAACAGTAAAAGTTGAACTTCATTGACTCTCCATTTCTCTAGTTAGCATTTTCTCTTTCTACTAATTGCATATATGTGTGTGTATGTTGAATTTGTGGCTGAGAAATTATTCCTTTTTGGTGTCAGCAAAAACTGGTAATTTCATTTGAATGTATGACCATTTGGTGATCTCCAAAATTGAGTTAATAGATTCTATTAACAAAGACCATTTTTTTTCATCGAGTGAAAGAAGACAGAGAATTTGGTTGTTGTTTGTTTGTTTTTATTTGTTTATTTTTTCATGCTCACTGGGAAGGAAAACAGCTGTTTGCTATCTAGACCACAATGTTTTGGTGTTTCTCTTTCAATTCTTGAACTGTGGTTGACATTATAGGATTGGAGTTTTAAGCAATTTGTATGTCTGTATGTCTGTAATTGGAAAGGCTTTACCTCTGTGAATGTATAATGTTTTTCTATCTCCCAAGGGTATTAATAAATTGGATAATGAAGTCTCTTAAATTAAAGGAATGTTGTTCTGATTATTTTTTACAAGGCAGAAATAAGGCCAAGAGACTTAGGCTATTTGGGAGACCTAAAAAAAAAAAAAAAAAAGAGGAATTTATGCAAATTTATAGATATTCAAAGTAAAATCTGGTGGAGTTTATTGGCTTTGGTTTCCTAGCTTCAAGATTCCAAATAAATCAACAAAATAAAAAGACAACCTATTGAATGGGAGTTTGCAAATCATATATCTGATAAGGGGCTAGTATCCAAAATATTTAAAGAACTCATATAACTCTGGGTGTTATATGAAAACAATGAATCATGGATCACTACATCAAAAACTAATGATGTATTGTATGGTGTCTAACATAACATAATAAAATAAAATAAAAATTAAAAAAAAAAACTCATATGACTCAATAGCAAAAAAAAAAAGAAAAAGAAAAAGATACAGTCTGACTAAAAAGGGACAGAGTATCTGAACACCCATTTTTCCAAAGAAGAAATACAGACGGCCAACAGACACAAGAAAAGATGCTCAACATCATTGATCATCAGGGAAATGTAAATCAAAACTACAATGAGCTATCACCTCACACTTGTCAGAAAGACTAATATTAACAACACAAGAAACAACAAGTGTTGCTGAGGATGTGAGGAAAAAGGAACCCTCTTTTGGTGGAAGTGCAAACTGGTAAAGCCACTGTGAAAGACAGCATGGAGATTTCTCAAAAAATTAAAAATAACACTACTAGGCATTTATCCAAAAATACAAAAACACTAATTTGAAGGGATATGTGCACCCCTATGTTTAGCAGCATTATTTATAATAGCCAAATTGTGGAAACAGTCCAAGTGTTCATCAATAGATGAATGGATAAAGAAAATGTGGCACTTTTATGTATATTATATATATATATAATATACATATATATGTATATACATATAATATAATATATATATATATATATGATGGAATATT